ATACAGAAATCTTCAAGTCCAGCTCTATCCATAGCTGATTTGATTTTCCTAACATAAGCATTGTGTTCATGCAAAAACGCTTGGAGATTCAGTATAATGTCAAACTTCAGTTTCTCAAACATAATTCTTCTGGTCTGTCTTTAGCAGTCCACTCTGAAGTAGATTTTTTAAAGAAGTTAGATAATGATAGAAGAAAACCATCCTGTGGTGAACCTGTCCATCAACTTGATTTGCTTCAAATGAGTTCATAGCAAAGCAATTATTGTAGTAATGTGCTGAAGGAAGTCTCTTGATCTTTTAGAAATCCTGTTCAGGAGGGAGAAAAGTGGCTCAGAAGGTATTGGAAGTTCTACTAGTTGACCTTCCTTTCTTACAACACATATTATAAGATCCAACCTTGAAACTTATGGCATTGCAGTAATGGCACTGAATATCTATTGGTCCAAGGGAAACCTTTTTATGATTTGAATGATCACTATTGCAATTGTATTGGAATGTAGCTTTGTGGAAGTTAACAAAGTTATAAAGTTATATGTTGTACACTGGCCATATTATTTCACTATTTATATTATTCAGACAATTGATGAGGACAATTGTCCGAATAAACGTTTCAGCCTAAATAGTGTACACTATTTACCTTAAATCTCATCTTTGAAATATTTCGGCCTTTCAGACAGATACTGAAATCTTTGGCCGAAACGTTTCGTTGTATGCTCCGGCTTTCTTCAGGTGGTTGTAAATAACTGAACCCTTTATTTTGCTCGCCGGGTTGGCAGTTCCACAAAGATTATCTCCTGTTAATAGTCCCGCCTTAACCAGAATAATGTAAATAGGGTCCTGTCACAGAATAACGCCTTTATCCACAGAAGTATAGACAGATACTGAAAGGCCCGAAACTTTGTAAATATGGCAAAAAGATGAGGATAATAGTCCGAATAAAAATAGATGAGGATACCTCATCTGAAATCCAATAAAGGTGTCCAAAAATAAAAAACAAAGTGTACATAAGACATCCTCATCTCAGAAATATGGATACTGAAAGATACTTTGTAATAAATATGGCAACAAAGAAACGTTGTAAATAGTGATAAATATGGCAACAAATACTGAAAGGCCGAAACGTTGAGAAATATGGCAATTGTCTGAATAATGTAAATAGTGTACATAATACGTCATCTCAGAAATATAGACAGATACTGGCATATCTTGTTAAATCTAAACCAGACCTCTTACTGTATTGTAACGGAGTTTCAGCGGCTCGTGATGCTCTCATGCAGGGTTCATGAAGGGATTTTCGTTTTGGAGCCTGGTGGACACTTTCATCGATGAGTATTAACATAAATTATATTTCAATCGTTTCACCATTGAAGAAATCAAACAGAAAAAAATAATTATCAGCAGGAAACTTCTGTACTTGTATTTGTAAACATGGAAAATGAATAAATAAAATTTATAGATAGTTTTCTCTCGTATGGAAAATATACGAAATTTATATATAATGTAAAAATAAATTTGTTTATGATTTTTGTTTAAAAAGGTCGAAACATTTTACTATGTTCAAAACTGAGAGTATCTTGTTAAAAAATTTAAATTATTTTGATTTCGTAAAATACTGCTGTAATTATGTAAAACATTGTAATATTTTATTTTAGTTACATTTGCAAAAATCGAAAACTTTACTGGTAGTTGTCAAAAAGAAGAAAAGTAAATGCATGTTATTTTTTTACGACAGAAATTTGCAAAATTTTTCGCTGTCGTAGAACATTTTTAAACCAAAGTTGTCATTTGAATTACAGCTTTTTCAAAGTATTTTCAGAGATATAATAATAGAAAACACACGACAAAAAAACAAAAAAAAAATTTTTCGATTGAAGTCCAGTGAAAATTAATTCCAAGAAGAAAAAAATAGATATTAGACATTTAGCTGGTAGATATTTACTTGACCCTCCACTGTGTCAGGTTGTGACACAAGGTCGGTTTTTAACGTGGGGACTCGAGTGTTTTCACTCGGGCCCCTGGCCTAAGCTGGTCTTAGCTTGTCCAAGCTGGTCAGAGCTGGTCTAAGCTAGTCATAGCTGGTCTTGACTTGTCCTAACTGGTCAAGACCCGAGCCGGTCCAAGCTAGTCGTAGCCATGATACCCCCAGCACAGGGCCGAAGCACAAATGCCAAGGAAGTATCTTAGACATTTAGCTGGTAATTTTGAATGGATTTCTAATTAAAATGAAAAGAAGAGGACAATCATTCAATATATGATATTTCAAGCAGTGTATGAAAATTAGTCATTGGCTTATTTGTGTTAAAACTTTTAAAATAAATAATTTAAGCAGGATGCATTTTTATATTTTCTTTCGTGGGTTGGGATAAGGATAGGTTTTTTTATTTGTTCTACTTATTCAGAAAAGTCCATTTTGATAGAGTGTCGTTTGTCTAATTTCCACATTGTAACTTCTGAGAAAATGGATGCTAGGCATAAAAACTGATAAATGTTTACCTTAGAAAAATTTTTCCAGGAAAAATTAATTGCTTTCTATAGGATTAATGATCACTATTCATGAAATATTAAAGGGGTTGTGGACGTTCAATATATTTGTTCAAAAAATATGACTGTAAAGAACGACATTGGTTGGATGTGGGGGTAGGTTTGTCATAATTAAGGAAAGTTTTAAAATGCAAATTTCAATCACTTTTCTGCATTATATAAAACAATACTCCTAAATATAAGTATTTCTGATATGAAAATCAAAACAATCCATGAATAAAAGAACATTAATGAAGGACAGTTAATTAAAGAAATATACTTCTTTTAAAATCAATATGCAAATTAGTAAAATCTGAAAAGTGATATTGCCAGAAGTAGATCACATATCACACATATATCGCGTTTTTTACGCATTTATTTAACACTGGATCAGTGCTCGCACCGATGTCTGCGCAACCGTTGGTTGCGGGGACTGAGGGAAATTTTTGACCCTGTCCGAGTGCACGCGCTCGGGTCCTCACATTAACCCGACCTTGTGTCACATCTCATTCCCGTCGGGGAATGAGTAAACACCGCATTTATTTCTCAGTTGCATCTGTCTTCGTGTTGAGTGCTACTCATTTGCGGCTCCGACAGAGGTAGAACTTAGGAAATTTACACTGTGAGGTCGCCAGCCCTGGGGAGCAGACGCCCCTTCTCATTGCACCAGAAAGAGGGTTCGGTGCTCGCAACGAGACTTTCAATACAGACGGTTGCGGGGACTTGGGGAATTTTTGTCTTTATCCCGAATGAAAGCGCTTAGGTTCCCCACATTAATCCGACCTTGGGTCACAACCCGACTCCGTTGGGTGTCAAGTAAATACCAAATATAAAGTAGAGGTGGGGCCTTTTACCCTAAGTATTCGTGGAAGAATTGTGCCCCACTTTCTAATTTATCCATATCGATAAAGAACAGTCACTAAATGAATGACACAGAGAAATAAAAGAGGCATTTGCTGGAAGAAGAAAAAGCAGTTGGGGTAGCAACATATTCAAATTGATACAACTAGATCATAATTGAAGTGATTATATTCCTTAAAGCAAATTATCCAGGGCCTTGAACTCTGAAATGAATGGTGTCAGACTCCAATCAAAACTTCTTCCTATTAATCACCTGAAAGTCCCCTTCTTACCTCTCATTAGCATGGCTGATGCTAACCTCCATAAAAGTGACGCATTGCGGCTGTTATAACTTCAGGTATTATTCCCGTGTTCGTCAATGCTGATATCTAGATTTATGTAACTAAATGGCTAGAAAAGACATAAACCTCCGCCTGTACTAATTTAACCTTTTAGCCATTATTCAATGTTGATTTTCTTTCAAATACGATATCATCTTTCTTTTTCCTTTCTTTTAGTTTTTCGTATGATGTGTTCTTATATATTATTGGGTTGTCTATATATTATCTGCCAATACATAATTCCCTCGACTCCTCTTTTTCTTTCCTTGATTCTTGTTTTCTTTTTCTATATTTCTTTCTTTTTCGCCATCTCTTATCACCTTTACATATTCTTTCGATTTTGTTATGTATTTCGGAGTTTTTTCTTGCTTCCTTGAGTATTTAATTTTCACTTTTTATATTTGCCGTCAGTTGTTTTACTCTTCTTTTTTATTTCTTTGCTTCAATCTAATCAGTCGATTGTTTTTTTCCTTCTTTGAAAAACTTTTAATATGAATTGTAATTTATTCTTTTCATTTTCCTTCATTTTTCATACTTTTTCTTTACTTCAATTTTTAGACGTTTCTTTCAATCTTTCGTTCTTTCTTTCTTTCTTCTTTTCATTTTCCGAAATTTTCTTCGATCCATTCCTTCTTTCTTTCTTTCTTTCTTTCTTTCTTTCTTTCTTTCTTTTTCGGAAATTTTCTTTAATCCATCGTTTCTTTCTTTCTTTCTTTTCATTTTTCGAAATTTTCTTCTATCCATTCTTTCTTTCTTTCTTTCTTTCTTTCTTTCCTTTTCTTTCTTTCTTTTTCTTTTCCTTTTCCGAAATTTTCTTCGATCCATTCTTTCTTTCTTTCTTTCTTACCTTTCTTTCTTTCTTTCTTTCTTATACATTTTTAACTTTAATTCATTTTTTTCATTTTGCGTCATGATTAAAAAGTATTTAGTTTCGTTGCTTTAGTCTATCAGTTGATACTTTCTTTTCTTGTTTCTTATTTTAAAAAAAATATTTACTTTTTCCTCTCATAACATTCTGCATTTTTTAAAATTCTTTTCTTTCTTTGCTACAGTCTATCAATGATTTTCTTTCTTTCTTTCTTTCTTTCTTTCTTTCTTTCTTTCTTTCTTTCTTTCGTCTTTTTAATATTAATTGTATTTATTCTTTTCATTTTCCGTCATTTTTCATACTTTTTTCTTTATTTTAATTTATTGGAAACTTCGTTTCTTCTTTTGTTATTTCTTTCTTTCTTTCATTCATTCGTTCGTTATTTATCTATTTCTTCCTCCGTTCTTTTCCTTTTCCGCCATTTGCTTTAA